AAGAGGCAGAAGTGGATGTGAGAGACAGACACACACAGAGACACAGAGAGCGAAAGAGGGCAAGAGACTTGACTTTAAGAGACTCCTGCACTGACAACTCCATGCAGTTCGGAACAAGAACGGCAGCGACCGACTCTGGTTTCATGGGGACATGGCAGAACACTGACACTAACCTCTTATTCAGAATGTCCCAACAGGTACGTTACTTTCATTTATTTTAAAACATGGCATTTCTGTGCTCTTTTTCTTTTTTTTTCCCCCTCCTTTTCCTCTTTCTTTTCCATGTTTCATTTTTGTTTCATTCATCACTACATAGTCAGCCTCTGAACTGTCATAACTATGTCATTGGAATGTGCATGGTTACTTCATTGCTTCCCTAAGGGCTCCTTTTTAAAAGAGGAAAAAATATTAAAGCTTTAAGTAAAAGCAAAGCATTTGTTTTAAAGTTTCCAAATAGAGCTTTGCTCATAGTAAGTCTGTTTTTCTTTCTTTGTTTGCTTTTGTTTTGTTCCAGTCTTTCTCCCCTCGCTCTCCCCCCGTCCCATAAATAAAAGTATCTGCTATCCCAGCAAAACTCCTTTCTTTCTTCCCGAGTACATAAGCCCTCAAATCAAACTGATACTAAATTTATGGGGCCCCTCAGAACGGCGTAATTAACTTCATGTGGCAGAGCAGAGTTTTATTCAGCGGGACGAAGCGGCGAGCCGTCCTGCTGGAGCTGCTGCCGGCGCGGAGCTGAGGGTCGCTGGAGGAGACGGCTCCCGGCCCGCCCGAGTACATAAGCCCTCAAATCAAACTGATACTAAATTTATGGGGCCCCTCAGAACGGCGTAATTAACTTCATGTGGCAGAGCAGAGTTTTATTCAGGGGGACGAAGCGGCGAGCCGTCCTGCTGGAGCTGCTGCCGGCGCGGAGCTGAGGGTCGCTGGAGGAGACGGCTCCAGCCCTCGGGGCCCTCTCCCGCTGCCGCTCTCCCTCCCTCTCTCCCTTCCTCCCTCCCTCTCTCCCCCCGTCTCTGCGGAGCTGAGCCTTGGCGTCCTCCCCAGAGCTGCTCCTTCACCGGGGGCCGCGTTTAAGGCAGCTTGGTATGCCGGTTCTGACGGGAAAGCGAAAATGTTACTGCAAGGCCAGTAATAACTGATAATTAATCACAGGAGCCAGTGTCTCTGTACCATGCACTTGGTGATACGCGCCCTGTATGTTATAGCTAATCTTGCACAATTGCTTGGCTCTTCTGGGTGAAGGGAAAGGGGGAGGAAAGAGAAAAAAAAAAAAAAGGGGGGAGGAAAGAAAAAAAAAAAGGAAAAAAAAATAAAGAGAGGGAGAAACTTTCGGCTTGGACAGGGCTCAAACAGAGGGAAGTTCAACCTGGAGGTTTTTAGCAGGGTGACTCCCTACCAGGGGACGTTTTGCCTTGCTGAAAACTAGTTTCCAATTATGGTCTGACACTGACTGATAATAGTTGAAATATTGTGTTAGCCGAAAGAGGAGTTAGTAAGTGATTTGTATATTAATATTGGACTTTTATTTAATGTTGGACGTAAGATGAATGAACTCGTTTACCTGAGAGGCGTTGTACTGTAAGTAAAGAGAGGGAAAGTAACTAGGTTTTTATAGTTTACAGTGACAAAGCATGCCTCAATACTGGCCATAAAACAATAATTTAATTAAAAAACCCCAAAACTTTAAAGCCAAGAAAAACTCCAAAGCAGAGACTTAATAACCAACAGCAGTTGTCTGTGGATGACAGTTAAAGCACTGTAGCTCAGGACAGGATGAAGGCATTTGAATAAGGAATATTTTGATGTATCCTGTAGAGGGACCCTGATTACTGCTGATACAGTATGCTGGTATAGAATGTAATCAACATAAGGAGGCAAATAAGCAACTGTTCAATTTCCCATTCTCCAAAGTAAAAAAGTTCATTTCCTGGTAGAGATGAACATTTCATAAACACTGCTTGGCATTAGGAAGTGTGAACCGCTGCTGCACTGCTTACAAGCCTTAGCAGCTGCATACAATGTCTGTGATACATAACATATTTGGTTATATTGATATTGAGCAGTAGGATGGAAAGCAGTTACTTGGATTACCTGCTGTGTTCTTATAGTAAGAAGTGAGATTACTTTTTTGGGGTGGAGAAAAGGTTCTTTCCATGTCAGCCACAAAAGAGTTAACATAAGTAGATCCAGATAACGATGAATTGATAAATGATGATTGAACCACATAGATAGTATTAGATTGCCTGTTTAGTGTTAGATGTTTTTCAACAGATTTAGCCTCTGAGGTCTCCGGAATACTAGAAAATGTTCAACACTGACAAAGGAAACAAAACTAAATAAAAGAGCATCACAATGTGTAAGGGGGTCAAATAATTTGAGACAAGTAGCTCATTAGACCAAGCCAAACATTTATGCATGTAAGCTAGGCTGTTTGGTTTCGATTTTCTTTTTTAAATAACATTTTGAATGTGCTAATTCTTGAGTATTAACTGGATTTTGTACATTATTGAACACGCATGGTCATGTTGTATTCTGTATAGAAGGAGAGGAGTAATGTACGAAATGACTAAATGTGTGGTAGATGCTGCGTCAGTGTATATCCTTCCATTGGAATACACACACAGTAGCACTGCAAAGGTGGTAATGTCAAGCAGATTTATTTCTTAAAAGTCTGTACTTAACACGTTCCTGTACTGTGTTAATCTCCTTGTCGTATTTTGTTTGTTCGTTTATCATGTGCTAAACATACTGAGTCCAAATATGCTTTCATCGTGCTTTTAAGAGGGGGGTAAGTTATTTTGCTAAATGCATTTCTCTCCTCTTCAAGGATAATGTTTTGTATTATATTTCTGATTTGTTAAGACTGTTGTAACTTCCTAGCTCGCACAGACTATAAGCACAGACTGTTGTGCAAGTGCAGCTGCAAATTTGTGTCTGAGTGCCAATGTTTCTTTCTAAGTCACTAAAATTTTGAATATTGCTTTCTGTTACCTATTTTCATCCATTTGTAAAAGTATTTTCAATCAATCTTCTGCAAATGTAAGTATTTTTAAAATTTTCCCTATGCTTTGAGAAAAATTGTTTTCATGAGTACAAATAACATGAAGTTATGAAATGTACATAACTTGCAAGCAAAGTTTGGCATGGTTTGAAAGAATTGTTCAATGAAACTTTTCCAGTACATAGTAATGCTAGAGACATTTCTTTTTTAAATTTCTAAGTATAATGCTACATTTCCGTGTGTATTTTAGAAGCAAACTCTGACCCCCATCACTTTTCCTTGGAGTTGTAACTTAATCTCAAGCAGGTTTTTAATACAAAGATTGGAGCATGGCAAGAAGAATGATTTAGAACAAAACAAAACCTTGCAATCCCTCCCTCCTCTTACCTCTCAACTCACACCGCACTGCTATTTGCATACTATAGGAATGAATAACTTTTCTCAGAACAAAAGGAAAACCTATTTCATTATGACAAGGCACTGTATGTATCTTAGAAAAATTAGGATTGATTGTGCAAGTTTGGGCTATTAATAGTAAGTGTAATGGTATTTATTTTTTTATTATTTTCTTAGAGAATGGGAGCACAGGGAAATGGCATCTCCACATGCCAGAGCAAATTTAGATTTTGGTGTTGTGAGAGGAGGAGAGGAATAGTCCAATAAAGTACCTGTGAGAAGTTTATGACATGGCCACTTGACTGCATTGTTTTGCCTATGCACCTTTTGTCCATGTAAAAGTCTGTGATTCACTTGAAAAGGGGTCATCCCATTCTGTATACAGAAGAATGTCTGATAACCTCAAAGGGCATAAATCTTAACTTTTAAAAAGGAGTGCTTCTTTGGGTCACTTTGATCAGTGACAGGTCGAGAATGAGCAGAAACCCTTGGCTTCTCTTCCATGCTCATCTGGTTAAGTCCAGGGCACCCACTGCCCATTCTAGTTCTGGCAAGGAGTTGTTAACAACAAAAAAGAAGGTCTGGATTTGATTGATTTAAAAAAGCAGGCTTTTGTGATTGTCTGTTTTCACAAATGTTTTGTGCATTTGTCAGAGTAAGAAATGTTGTTTTTCTTCATCTAGTTACCTTAAGGACTGTAATGTTCTAAAATACTTTTAAGTCATTTTAGAAATGGCTGTTACCCACAGTGACACAAAATGCCAGAGCCATGTACCTTTTTGTTAAGAAAGAAGTATCTTTAATCCGTTTCAGATAAAAAGGTAATAGCCTTTCCAGGAGCTGTTTTCAGTGTGAGAGTGAAAAAGCAGTATATCAGAATTATAAATGGATCTGTGCGTCATTATATAGTAATTTAGGATTCACTCAATGATGTAACAAAATTAACAACATAATTTCATTGTGTAACTGTATCTTATTAAAGAACAACTGTCTGACATTCTCTTACAGTTGCTTTATTTAACTTCATGCAAATATTATTAGTAGTGACATTTCTCTATTGTACATTAGATTCTCTCATTAGCATGATGTGTTAGTTATCACCAGAGAAATCACTTCTGGATAGGTGAGCGGGAAGCCAAGAAAACTAAAAATTAAATCAATGATGTATATTAATACAGACGCGTCTGTTCATGAGAGATATGGTACAGTAAGTTCAACTTTTTTTCCTTGCGTAAATGCATGATTATTCCAAGGAAAACTAAATAATACTTACAATACATGGACTATGCATTAATATTGCTAGAAATAAAATATAAGATTAAAGAAAAAATGTGCACTGCCTGTTTGAGCTGTACTTGTACTCTTCAGTCTGATAGTTCCTAACATTGATGTAGACATAGGCACATAAACTGTTTATTGAGCCAGTATTTAAAAATAGGAGTGTAGTATAATGTCTAATGGATTGAAGGTGAAAGCTTTTTAAATGTTCCTGGCTTGCTAGTCACAAAGGTTGTTTGCAATTTTAACATTTATTAAGTAATTAATCATTATACTGTAGCATGTAGCTACACTTTTAATATAGATGTACATGCAAAAAGAGTTCAAACTTAATCTGACAACAGGCTATTATTCCATACATTGGTTTATTATGAACATTTTGGGAGGAAGATTAACATTGGGAAAATGCTTTTTGTAGTTTACGGTAGTTAACAATTGCCTTTGTCAGTAAGCATCAGCAAGCATGGTAATTCTATTTAAAATATATTGCTTTATCACACCATTTTAAAGATTAGCTGA